ACACTAAACTCCAGAGTAACGTCATAATTATAAATGAAAGCTATAAATAAAATGTAAAATAATACTACCACGATTGCTTTGTTCTATAATGCAATATGCATGACAAATAAATGATTGCACATTAAATTATGTGCTATGAAACTAGGAACATTGTACATTATACTATATGTCTACGTGACTACGTTTATTGGTAATATACATAATAATATTCAATTTATAATTGAAATATGTACCTGTACATTTATTCAATTATTTTACAATTTAAATACTTTAAGAATTTCATTTTAAAACAAATTATATATCTAGAACCCCGTATATCAGGTACGAGCTTAGCTCAGTTGATATACGAATCAACTCTTTTTAGTATAATTTACTACAGCAGTCACWCGATAATTCGAACTTAAATAATTCTAAAAACTCCATAAATCGAACTAAACGCTAAGTCTCTTGAGAAAACCTCTATAATTCGAAAAAAATACATGTATTCCAGTCCCCTCGATAATTCGAAATGTCTGTCGGTGGGCACATTCTGTAATTCGAATTTTTTTAAACGCGATTATATGTAAGTTCATATGTATAAAGATTATTTACAATCTAATCTATATAACGTGCTCATAATGAAACTAATAAAGACGGTGGTTAAATATTATTATAGTTTATTAATGTTATCGTATCTTACCTACCTAATCTAAACCTGAATCATATAATTTTACTAAAATGAACCTTTAAAATGGGTAAACCATAAACCTTTATTGAAATTGAATAAAACGTAGAAAGTCGCAATRTGGGTCCTGTAAATACCGTAAAGTACAAGTGCTTGTCGATAGCCGACAAAAAAAGTGATCGCGTCAGTTGAARCAGGGGAAAAAATTTTTTTCCCTCGATTATTGGAACACTCGGTAAATCGAAAAATTATATAAATCGAATTTTTAACTCTGTCCTCTGAATTTCAAATTATCGAGTGACTACTGTATCTACTAATATTTTGCCGAAATTATCAAAATAAATTGTGTACCAATAGTTGTAGAAGATGTTGGAATTTCCGTGATTGCAAATAAATATCAAAACAAAAAATTAGTTCAAAGTCATTAAAGATGTCACGATATTGGACCTTGAGTAAAATATTGTGTAACAAAAATATAGGAACGGCTGTTAAAAAGAATCAAACGTTTATAAATTATAAGTTGATGATATTGTTTTATTACTTTATATTAGTTCTTTGTGATGTAAGTTGTTTATAATATTAGGTAAACGTATTTTTTATGTTTTCTATTGTTACTGGTGAAACGCCAAATACAAAGCACTTATTTATCGAACCTTATAAAAAGATTTTTTATAAGGATTCTTCTTAATAAATGACGTAGAAAGTCTTATTGATATTCATTGCATATATTTTATAAATTGACCATACTACTTAAACACACCCAATAACAGAAAACGTGATGAATGATTGCGTAACTTGTATTCGCAACATATCAAATTGTTAATGTTTTGAAAATTATAATATACAGTGTGTTGGAAAAATTGGGCCCTGACGCCGCGCCAAGGGCAGCGGTGCACAGTGAGGCCATAGGCAGTAGTTTTTCCCACGTTACAGGAAGTGGTGCGTTGTTGTGTGCGACCATCCGCTGTTTTTGTCTTTTTTACTATATTGTCATAGTTTGTTACTATTTGTTTATTTTGTGTGTAAAAATACAAACCGCAGTTCATTGTAATTAAACCAGTATTCTTTTTATTTTAATCCTGATCTCAGTGAACATCTTATCCTGATTACTATTTAAAGTGCAGGTGTGTGAAATAATAAGTATGCTAACAAGTTTAACGGAATAGCTATCATATAMAACTACAAAAAAGGCTCTTCACAGAGCCAACAACTAACATACCTAAGACAGCMAAATAACAGCACAGGACGAGAACAAAACAGCATATTTTGGACTTAGAAAGGAATTCTTAGTATCTCCGTACATCATATAAACATCAAAAGTACATCAAAGGATAGAGGAAGTCAAGGCGAAAATAAAAATACCTTCCCCATGGTCGTCACCCAAAAAACAGCCGAGATATCACCAAATACGTCACGAGAGAAAACGCAACAAGTGTTAGTAACTACAATGTGTTTACTAGTCAGTACGGATAGTAGGGTAATTATAAGGGCAGGATTCRGCATAGACTTCAGTACACTCTCATATTTTCTTCAGCCTTCAACCAGTAAACAACGAAGACCCGAAGAAATCTCAAGAACCACGACCGATACGATTCCGTGTGCAACTCTCCTTGAGCATCGCCACAAATCGATCGTTCGGTTGAGTGTCGACTTTATACTACGGCATTCAAGAGCCGCGATCATCGAACCGTTGACACTGGGCCACGGCTTTCAAGAGCTCTGGCCATCGAACAACGACCGTAACGATCCCGTGTGYGACTCTTATTGCCACAATCGATCATACGGTCAAACGACGACTTCGGACTACGACGTTCAAGAGCTCCGGCCATCGAACACTGACCGGTACGATCCCGTGAGCAATTCATTGGKAACCACCACAAAATTGTGRTCGGACGGTCGAGCGACGACTCCGGACCATGGCATTCAAGAGCCCCGGCCAGCGAACAACGATCAATACGATCCTGTGTCCAACTATCCTATCGAGCATCGCCACAATTGATCGAACGACGATTCCGGAACATTGCTGGTTGCCTATACGTCTCTGTACGTGGAGCTATCTAAGTGRTAATCTCTCGGTATATCCGACGTCGGAGAATGGTGTAAAYCGGAACTTAGATGCGCCACCGAAAGATTCGGATGACATAGTGATTTGGGCCAGTGTTCCGGACGGCAGCAAGGATCATACAAGGCGCTGTAATAACCAACCAAACGAGAGGGCTTACCYATTTGGACGAATACTGCGAGCAATCGTTGAACATGTCAAACTGCCAAGTCTGAAGTAAACAAATAAAATTGTCCTTTTGACTACCTGGATAAAATTAGTCCCCCCAAGCACGCCTATCTAGGCCACGCTTAACCCAAACAGAATTTGTATTAAACGCCATTTATTCGAGCGGGCCTAATCCAAAATTCTCGATTTATATAAATAACGAAACTCCCTCATTATTTATTGTTGTTTATTATGTAAATATTAACGGGAAGCAGATTTCTCATATTTTTTTTATTAATTATATGTTTTGTAAAAACCTGTAAAATAGAAATAAAGAACTCACTACAAACAAAATGAAATATATGTATTCATATTTATAGAAAACGGCTATATAGTGCCTACGTTCAGGTTGGACAGTATCAAAGATACAATTGTATCTTGTATCATGATACATCGATACATAATTTTAAATTAAAATTTAATTTAATTTTAAATTAAGGTGCCCGTATGTCCGTAGCTCATATACGGTATACGTATATACAGTTAAGCACTTCACTAAAATGCATGATTAAAGATAGCGAAATATTCGTTCTTATAAAATGTGAATCCGCTACCTAGATATGAGTTTAACCGTGTAGATATTTTCGCATAAAATAGAAAAKAAAATCAAAAGWAAAKATAAGCAATTATTATTTATAAAATATATAATACGAGTCTGTATTCATCTGCTCCCGTTGAGTGTTTATTTTCATTTGCTAGTTTTGTGTATTTGCCCAGTAGATAGATCTAATCTTTCAGACAAATCTTTTGAAAAATTAATTTTTCTTAAAGGGAATCAAGTTTTTATTCATAAAAATAACATTTAATTTAAAAATTAACTATAACTGATAAGTCCATAAGACTATAACCCATTTAATTTATATATTCATTTTTGACAATAAATCCATAACCATAACATATCCATAACCAATTATACACTTAAAGGAACTATATATATATAAGTACAAATTAAGATGTAATTTGTATGCAACTTATTAATTTTAGTGTATTTATATTATATAGTGATGTATTCATGCATTAGTTATAATTTTATAAGCTGTACCTATTGACTTATTGTATTATTTAATATAATTATGACTTTATAAGTATATATGTATTGACAGTATAGTAAATTATGTATAGACGTTTTAAGTTTAATAGTAAATAAAATTCGATTGGAAATATAAAAGTATCACGTATCTAAGTATCTTTGATACATACACTAAATGCATGTATCATGATACTTTTTTTTTTGAATATATCGCCCAACCCTGGCTCCATTGCATGTACCGTTTCAACAGTCAATTTGTTTTTTATTTTAACTGAAGATTTAAATTTAAATCTAAACTCGTGAATGTTGCCTATCCTATTTAATCTGCTTAAATTTTAAATTATTTAGTAAAACAACGTGTGATATTTGAAAATATTTATAGTTTTACATTCATATGCTAAATATACAATATTGACCATATCTTATAGTAGACTTATCGTTATCAAATATGCATAATAGTAAGTTATTAACATGATTCAAACATAATTATGAATGTATAATACACAATATACACACATAATATTAATTATATTATTATATGTGTATTTAATAATAAAATCTTATTGTTACACGGCGCTATATATATGCAATTTAGGTACACAACTATCGTGAGGGAACATATTTTATCCAGTACGATATTAAAAACGGACTAATTATAAAAATCTTTAAAGACTTCGTTGTTTTAGTTTATTTTATCTGCCATCCAATTAAGACATGCGTATTACTAACTGTCGGTCATAAAATTAAATTTTTAACAATGCCGAACCAGAACAATCGCCAAACCACTATAAAAATTATTATTAAAAATATAAACAACAAATACAAATAAGTTTTTATTTWAAAAAAAATTGAGATTCAGCAATAGTATATAAACAAATTTTGCTCGACAAGCAATTTKAAATTAATATATATTTAAATAATATATCTAAATAATATATATATATTTATACATACAAATAAATTCGTCAAGGCTAAAAACTCAAGCCCTGGACTGAAAAAGCTATACGTTATTACAAAAATAAGTTTCTATTAAAAATATATGTAAGTATATAATATAATATAATAACTAAAATTTTAACTTATTATTATTTTTATTATTATAAAACCAATAAAAGTATATGAATCCGATGAATGGGCTTAAAAAAAGTAAAAAAAAACAAAACAATAGTAATATAATAATATAAACAACAATGGCACAATGATAACACTATTGATGACGGTGACTATACCTAAATAATGGGAGGTGGTTATTTTGGTGGTCACGCCGGAAAGTCGGTTTTTAACTGTAAAGTGTGTTGGTAAAGTTCTATATGATGAATAAAATACAGTAGTGTGAGGGGAAGGGTGAAAACTGACCTAAACTGCTTACACGACTATCATTATTCAATATTTCAAAAACTCAAAAACAAAAAATACAATTAAAAAAATAAAATATTATACGAGTACATTAGTAGATTATAGAAGCAACGTTTGGTAATAGTGATAATAATATACCATGATATTATAACAACGTAATAATCATTAAACGTGCATCTGTCGTCAGCCCAGCAGACCTCTGGTCTCGTCGGCGTAGCTGTTTCCAATGTGGCTGCCAATGACCAGTTCGCTTTCCTTCCGATTCCAYGTGCCCAATCGATTCTTGTAACTGCTGCACGCGATTATGCCGTCCATACCCGGTGGTCGTTCCGGGGGCACTGGGCACGTGAGCGCTGACGTCATGAGACCGTTGTACCCTCCACCGTTCTCCGTTACGGATTTTACCAGTGGATCCATTAAGTTATCGAGACTGTGCACGTCCTTGACCAGCCTCGGTGGCCGAGAGAAAATCAAAAACAGCGTTACGGCTACCCCCTGCAAACAAGAAAAAACRAGATATTAGCATAAATTATTTTACTAGAAAGTCAAAAATTAAATTATAGTATGATGACGATCACAGCAAAGATAAGTAAATAAATGAGAAAAAAAGGTCTTAGCAGAATGTAACCATTATTTTCGAAAATAATATACAGTTTTCTTCCATGCGTTTTTTTTATTCATTAGAACCAAGGCTATTTTTTCTAAATAATAAATTCTGTAGTACATAATTTAAATGTCTATACTAAATATGAGTTTTACAGAAATACAATATCAAATTTGTGTAGAAAAATGGCAACCATAAACCCTAATAGCTACTGCACATAATTGAATGCCATAATTAAATTCATGTAMTTGAGTATCTACAATTATTCACGWTATAATTTTGTAAAATGAGACGTATTTATTATTATATACATAAAAATGATACCGGCTATGCTATATAATACTCGTAGGAAGTAGATATAAAGTGTATTTTTTTATTATTATTTCTACTTTWTCATTGTGTAAAAAATTATATGAGTGTGTGAGTGTGTTAAATTTCAAATAATTCAATAATAAATAACTATACACCAAAAACGGCTATGAGCAGTAACGGTGTTTCAGCTTTTATTTATTTGTCTATTAGTAATATTAGTAGGTTGAACTTTAATTTTTACAAAATAATTGTATACATTATATTATTAATTATTATAAGTCGATTTTGTGGCTAAGAATGGATTAAATAGTTTTGTGGAATAATTAAATAAATAGCTTAAAATTATTAGATGGTGTATAATAAATGTAGGTCCATCCGCGTAATACGCAATATTTCGATAACACTACTTTTAGAAATATACATTTTTTTTTTTTTTTTTCAGGCCTATGCACAACATTGATAATACGTTTTCATGTAATATCTGGTTTTATGTTAGGTTCGATATTTAGCGGAATTATCACCATTTTTTACCCAATTTTTTCCCAAATTTTTTTTTTTTTTTTTGCTGTGCTATTCAACTTCAGTAATCGATATACAGAATATAACATTTTATCACCAATAAGCAGTATGAACAAAGTGATTCACTTAGAGCGCATGCTCATCAGTCATCACCCTCCATTATTATTTTTAATATTCATATTTCAATAAATAAATAAAAAAAACCTTTTTGTTAAATATTTTCTAAGTCTATATTATTAAATATATAAGTCTTTTTTATTATACTTGAAGAGTATTCCATGGGAAATACCATTTTCTTACTGTAAACTATAAAAAATAAAAAWTTTTGAAAATGATGATGTATCTATTTTCTATACAAACCAAAATTCCGTGATAAGTGATAAGTTATTAAAGTGACTGAACATTATATTACAAAGATAATATTCTTCAATAATGGTTTTTGATAGAATATCAAATATATATTATTCTAGCTGTTGTGCAATATGTTTTCCGTACCGAAGATTGGTTTTTATCTTTAAATACATTTGTAAACAAATTATATTCATGCAATATTTTTACCAAATATAATTTAVTACTATTATTACTAATAGTCGATAATAAAATGTATAACCATAATTACATTTGGCAACCATTTCAATAAACGATAAGAATATTGGTTTTTATTAGTGTGGACAAAATGCATGCATCCTACAATGCATGCTACCCWTTAACTATCTATAGTGGTCAAAAAATGTTTAAATCATTCTCTACGATATACTCCATTATTAAAAAAAAAAAACTCATGACTATCTGATAAGTTATTCCTGAGACCTTTGACATCACAGATAATAATTTTTACATTTATATATATGTAGATTTAGGCTAGTACTTATTATACTCAGATAACTTTTACAAATTATAAAATACTAATAGAATTATAAATTAATTTGTATGACTATTTCAGGATCATAGCACTAATATATTTTAGCTCCAGTACCATAAGCTATTATTATTATAATACAAAGTTCAATAACAAAAAAAAAAATTATCTGCTTACAATAAAAAAAGAAGTWTTTATTTGAAAAAAAGTTATGGTTGTATCAAGTAAAAAAAAATAAATAAATAATAAAAAAAACGTAAATTGTATTTAAAAATGTTGTCTCTAAGTATATTTGAAAATTACAAAAATCAAAATTAGGATGAATACCATATTAAAAGATAAAAGGAAATAAGTACAATTTCAGATGAATCACATCAATGTATAAGCATTGCTACTCTATTCTGTTATCATATTGCCATATTGGTATAAGCAAATTTCCAACTTATTTATTTGATCCTTTCTATTTGAAAAATCGAGATTTATATCGACGTTTGATGGATAACTGGGCTATGCCTTCAAATAGTATCATTGTGTAACCGTGTGGAAATGAGTGTGTCAATGTGACTTGGCTACCATTATATTATTATTATATTGTTAGAGTATTAAAGTTTCTTAGAACGCACCATCAATCAAGCGGCATTAAGAAAAGCTATAGGCGGGGATCGTCGTTGCACGGTGTACAATACTCTGACAACACTGTGCATCGATCGATGATTATAAATTTATAATATCATAGAAAAAATACATTTATCGGCCAGAKCCAAGCGCTTTCCAGAGACTGTTCTTTTAGTATCCAGAGAAAAGAAAAAAATCTATTGATTAGACTAACGAAGGTGTCTGAGGTTATACGTTTTGAAATATAAAATTTTTATTGCCGGATCGAAATCAGTAAAACGGATGCAAATTCCTTGGCCTTGAGTGCAACAAAACATTACATATATATATATATATATTCATATTTTAGTTATCTAAATATATTATCACAACGCCTGATAATAAAATAATCAACTATTTGCTTTTTGTATTATTGTAATAATTCTATAATACCAATTGTAAGTATATATTAGTATATATTATAATTAGTATTGTTAATCAAAGTGAGGTTTATCATTAAAAATTAATAAACTTTATTGTAAAAGCAAATTGCTATTTTCATTCGTTTATTTAGTACTTTTTTATCATTTAACTGCAGTAAACACTAAGTTCATTTACTTGGTAGGTACCTCTTTAATGTGTTCAAGTCAATCACCTAACAGTCTTAGCAATAATTATTATAACATTATAAATTTGAATAGCCAATTAGCCATACATCCGATATGTAACTTACTCACACTTGGTATAATTTTATCAATTTTCACATTTAATTCATAATACAAAAAAAGCTATTTTAACTTTCAACAGTATTAAGTTTAATCGACGTTAATGGCCGTTTAATTACTTATGATTTCGAATAATAGTTAAATAAATGCAGCTGAGAAAACTGATGATGTTTTAAATTTAAYTAACAAAACTATTTATAAACAAAAATACATGAATGGTGATAAGTTTGTAAATAAATGTTATCATAAGTATTAAAAGTTTTTCAAATACGCATTCGTTTCGCTAATCGTTTTTTATTTTCATATGTTACGRTTAAAGTACAGAATATGGTTAGTGTTCACATTATCCGGGTGATGTGTACACTACCTGTACCTATTGGATAAAGTAAAAATACTATTTAAAAAACATTTATTTCGTACATATTTTACACAGCTGCAAATTGTTTGCGTACAGTCTATAATTTTTACCTGAAAAATCGGAACTCGTTTGCGCACACGGTTATATTAAATGTACAACTGGTTTGCGCACATTAAAATTATTATATTATTATATCATGGTGACAGATTGGTGTTAATAATCATGGATAAAGAGTTTGGAAATATAGACCAAATTAAATACATACAAATAATAAGAAATTGTTATTATCGAAAATAATAGACACGTATATTATCCTACACATTTTGTACATCTATTTTATACATTTTTTTCTTTTAAATCCATACAGGATTTTTAATCTAGTCAGACATCTTCATTTCTTTCTTATTTGTAAATAGTAAATAGCTTATTTATATTTTGAAATTAATGTCAATTAATTGTTAAAACTAATTGTAACAAAAGTTTTAATAAAAAAAAAACTTGAAAAATTATTAAATATTATTTATTAAAAATTATTAATATGCAAGTATTAACATGCATTTTTAATCACACTTATGAATGCATTCATTGACAGTCCTAAGTCTATTAAGGGAGAAAGTAAATGTATGTAAGTACTTAAATAATTTATTTGTTGATAATCAAATATTAATATTATGTAAGGTATAAACTATTTAAGTCTAAAGGGTAACTATGCGCAAACCATGTGTATGGTTACGGCTCAACTGTTTCCAAACGAGTGGTAGTTTTTTGCCCAAATAAGTTGTTTTTTTTTTTTTTGTGTTTGTGCGCAAATCGGTAGCGCCCTTTTACACATTATCTACGACTGAGTGGGTAAAGTGCTTTGATAAAATGTAAACGATAAAATAACGATTGTAGATAAGTGTTTATGAAGAAACACATGAAATAATATTTAGTAAAGTGCTAGTTCGTCTTAATACATGCTTCGTATACATATAATAGGTTTTTAAAATGACTTAACGCGAACAATTTTATGAGTGTTTTCATAAAATAGTCAATGAAAAAAATAATAACGCAGTTTATTTATTGGCATTTAAGTATAGCAAAATAGTTTCGGAAATTAAAAATGTGAGATCAAGTGGAATAAAAAGTAACAAGGCATATCGAATTTTGAAAAGAATCTTTTCAAAAGATACGAYCTCATTAGTATTGGAGAAGAAGATAAATTAATATTGGCGTTGTTGGAAGGTAATAYAAATATTTTGTACTATAAAACTAATAAAAATATCTATGATGTGCTACACGATGTACATTTGAGTATTGGGCATGGTGGAAAACATCGCATGAATGYTGAAGTTAAAAAAAGTATAAAATTATAACACAAGAAGCAGTGTATATTAACTTAAAATTTTGCGAATCATATCAATCTAAAAACAAGGGTCCAGTGAATAAACCAATGGTGTTTTCGGAAATGAATAGTAGGTGCCAAGTAGACCTGATTGGTATGCAGTCGCAGGGGGACGAAAAGTTTCGGTTTATTATGGTATATCAGGATCACCTTAAAAAATTCGTTTAACTAAGATCCTTAAAAACAAAGAGAGCGGAAGAAATTGCAAAACATCTTATCGATATATTTTTTATTTTCGGAGCTTCGATGATACTACAATCTGACAATGGCCGCGAGTTTGTAATTAAAATAATAGAAGACTTAAAAGAAATGTGGGTCACACTGAAAATCGTTCACGGAAAGCCACGCTACAGTCAGTCACAAGGGAGTATCTAGAGAGCAAACCAAGACATACAAAATATGTTGATAACATGAATGAAAACAAATAACTGTAAATCATGGTCAGAGGGACTTCGATTTGTACAGCTAATGAAAAATAGGGCCTATCAGGGTGGCATTAAAATATCTGCATACATGGCCAATGGTCATTGTTGGTACTGATGTGAAAATTGGTTTGTCATCATCTTTTCTACCAGCTGAACAAGAATTGGAAGAAATATTGCAAAGTGTCGTGTCAAACTATGAACWAAGAGACAATCATAGTGTTTCCGATAAAGGGATAAATTGTTGGCAATATATATAGTCGTTATACCAGGTTTAATCACTTCTAATTTTTTTCTTAACAGGACAGTACTGTATTTATTAGTTGCTGTGAATCGTGTGGCTGTGCTCTTGGTAATGGACAAACATCTATTTATTTTGTGGTTTATGTGATAAAAAAGTAACTATTACAAAACAAGTTTTATTTAGGAAAAAATGTAATTTATTTTTATTAAAAATGTTTCAGAACACCACAGAAAACGAGAGAAGCAATTTAAAAACAAGCAAAAAAATAAAGTTCAGATCCATTAACAAATTCCCTCCTTGGAATGTTGGCGACAAAGTTCGAGTCAAACTATCAGAAATAAACAGAAGTAAATGTGATCCACAGAATGTACTCTTTCCGGTTRTGTCAATTAGTGATAAATTATCACTGATAATCAATATTACGAACTCGGTAATAAAAATGGCATTCTTCATCAACTTTATTCCAGAAATCAATTTACTGTATGTTCTGAACCATTAATAGATATTTTAGAAGTTTTAGACACAAAAAAATCTTTGCGTGAAATAGTTAATGTACAATCTTTTTCCGGTGGTCAAGGTTTTAAAAAGTTTTTATGTAAAACTAATGCTTAAGAAACAAATGTAAATGCAAATCCGGAGGAATACTTTGTAATTCTAAATGTCATCCGAACTCAAATTGTTCTAATAAATAATTGGATTTTATTTTAAGTAGGTAAATAGTAAAATTGTTCAAATACATAATTTATAGTTTAATATTAATAATAATAAATAATTTTTTTTTGAATTAGTATAATTTGGTTTTTGCTACTAGAAAGACTCGGTATAATCTGTACCATTTTAAGTGTTTGATGCGTAGATCATATTGTACGGACTTTATATGTTTAAGATCATAGTTATACGAATACTTTATCCACAGCACACTGGATATATAAATTGATTGGACACTACATATTTAAGGTAGATAATGTATACATTACACTGTTTATATGGATGAGGTTCACATTACCCGGGTAATATGTATTACACTAACCGTTTTTGTACTTTACCCGTAACAGATACATTATCATCAGGCTATTTATAAAGTTAAAAAAAAAAATTAAAATTAAAATTAATCACTATTTATTTGAGATAACATAAATCAACAAATTGAAAAATATTGTAATTCCAAGCCGTTTTTCGAATGATTAATACTATAATATTACGAGTGTCTTTGGTTTAGTTTTCGTTACCTATTGATGAAAGATTAGTATCTATACCATTTGTGTAAACGTTATAAATTTGATCTGTGTTAACTGCGTCTACTAAGATTTTACATTAATTTAATTTTAATTATATATACCTAATTATCCTTCATCGTTTTCTTGTAATTATACGCAAATCATCAAATTATATTCATCAAATTTTCAACAAAAATGTTTCAACATTTTTACTCATTTTACTCATCTAGATCGTTATTAGTGCAATTCATACATACATTTAAGACCCGAGATTCCATGTATTTATACATACATTGCCTTATAAGTTATAAGTATGTAAGAATAACAAAATTATAGATAACAAAAAAAACCTATCATTTTTATTAAGCAGAATATAATATGCCTTTGCCTTATACATATTATGATAATGAATAAGTGATTAATAATTCAAACTAAATATTTTTATTTATTTACTCACCACAACAGCAGATAAGACGATAACAAATAAAGTAGCTGTGCCGAAACCTACGATATCGTACAGCACACCAGCAATAGAAGGACCGATAAAAGCTCCAAGTGCAAAAGTGGAAGTCCAAAGTCCCGATATCAGACCGTAAGTTTCAAGGTTATTGGCAAACCCGTGCTGACTGGAAAATTAAACAAATTATAATTGTTAAACATAAAAACAAAATAAAACAATTAACAGGAATCATTTTAACTCATCCAATAAAATTTTAATGTGTTGATTATTAAAGAACCGACAACTGTGAGTACCACCTATCCATTACGCATTATTTCTTATGTATATTACCACGTTTATGCACCTCGCAATATTTAATTTAAATTCGTACAGAATAGTGTGAGACATATTAAATTAGGTCAAAAATGTCTAAACATTTCTAATCCTATAATGTCACATTCAATTTAAAAGTAAAGAATAACTTGAGTAATTTGTTTGGTGATTACTATGAAAAAAATCTTTGTAAACACTTACATAGCAGTCCGCAAAGCATCGGTGAACGATGCAACAAGTTGTGCACCGATTCCCATACCGTGCATCACCAGTCCTAGTACGGTGACAGAAAATTCTCTGAAAATGTTCGTAAACACAGAAAAAGTTAATTATTTTTTAATTGGTAAATAATATTATAACCTTAACTATAACTATAACTTAATATCTGGCATGAACATTTTTTTCTTTTTAAAAATCACTCGTACTTTACACTAAACCAGCGAACGCCCATTGTATACTTACGTCGGTCTGTCGAGGAATGGTACCGGGCCGATAAGACTAAATCCAATCATGAGTATGATGCACCCCAGCAACGTGACGACCTTAGCAGGCAGCACTTTGTCGCACAGCCAACCCCACCAGGGCGCTGTCAATGCATAAGTTCCACCGTTTATGACAAACATCAGCCCCAAGATCATTGGAGACAATTTGAACTGAAAAAAGCGAAATAAATCAGAAATAACACAGCGATGTAATTATGACAGCGGTTATACTTGTCTGAGATGTGGTTCTAAGGTAGCCGACAAAAATCCRATGCTCATAGACGTCACGATAATACTAGCAGCCGCTAACATTATACCAGGAATTTTTAATACTTTCAACAGACTAGCTGTAAAATAATAATAAAATTGTCTTCTTAAAAATAAAATTCTAGTATTCCAGTAGATACCACATTCAACTATCAATATATTGTGGTGAAGCTTTTATTTGTTAAAAACATTTAAGACATAAATAGCCAACACAGACCAATAAAGATTTTAGTCAATTGACGATTAAATAATTTTAATAGAAATAATATATTAATATATGTCATAATATTATTTATAATTTATTTGCCTATTTAATTAAATATTATTTAACATAATATAATCTACTCTTTGTAGTCTGTGAAATCTCGTTTAGTTGTTTGTTATGTTTTGTCAAAATTGTTATAAGAATAAATTATTCTCACTGTTTCTGACCACATATTAATAACGCAAAATGTTTAGGAATGATAATTTATTTATTAGCTATATGTAAACGCGTATACATATTTTAAAAAAGCGCCCGTCATAAAATGTTATTTTAACAAAATATATACAAAGGGTTTTAAAAGTCTAGAACCGTTACAATTTATGTTATTATCTGCCTATTGCCTAACAAGCAAACATTTCTTTCTGTTTTTGAATGATAACAATTTGTAACACACTTGACTATTCTCAAATAGTCAGGTTATGATTATGAATATTTATAGAAACGTTATTATTTAAACCTATTATTTAATAAAAGTAAATAAATGTATTTCTTAAATTAATACAATAAATAACTTGATAATATAAAGTTGATATTATAATCAAGAAATTTATACTTAATAAACAATAATATTATTCAAATAAGAAATTACCATCACTAGTAACGTCATTTCTACGATTCGGGTGGTCGGGTAAAACAAACGCTGTCATGACAGCCGAAAGGAATAACGTAGAACCCAAAACTAAAAATGGAGTTACAAAGCCTCCGACCTGAAAAAACAAATTTGTTAGCATGACATTTTTAAAATAATATAATATTATAAACATTGTATTCTAACTTGATACAAAGCTCCACCGACAGTTGGTCCAACAATCAGTCCAAGTCCAAAAAACGTCTCAAGAGAAGCCTAAAATTATTACATGTTATTAAAACATAAATTATGGACGTATTAAATTCTAGAAAATTAATTTATATGTTTTGTTTCTTACAAATGTGGTAGCCACGTTGTCTGGAAACTCCATAGCAATGATGGCAAAACTGGCTGTCAAAAATGCCGCATTTCCCATCGCTTCGACGATACGTATGACGAAGGATAATATGATGAATGGATAATGGCCTTCCACCCTGTCCAAAAATCTGGTACCAAACAGCAAAAAAAACCCTGATTTTAATGAATCCATTCGGTTTTACGTCATAAATTCAGAGAATTGATTTAAATATTTAATTTCCCAAATAATTAATCRAATAAAAATATAATATGCACAAACAATTAAAAAGTCGACTAAAGAACAGTAAAGTAAAAATTTCATTAAAAAAAAACATGAAATTATGTCTTATATTTTATACTATTGTGTATTAATTGAACTTAAGTTATGAACAATAATAACCTCAAACATTTGTTTTTAATATTTGTCTTCCTTTTTTATTTTGAATTTCGTATTCCCGACTCTCGCGCGTATACATATAAATACTTCAAAATTAAAATATCTACAGAACAAATTATTATTAAACAGCAGAAATTTATCTTCAAATATTTGCTTAAATAATCTTCCTTCTAAAAAAATCAAAAGAGTGAGTAATCTAAGTTTTAACAAGCTCTGTTTATATTTTGAAATTAAAAAAAAAAAAAAAAAAAAAAAAAACAGTGAAGTCGATCTGGCTATATTGTAGCCTGTAGGAGTGGAGATTACTTCGTATTTTTATTTTTATTCAACTGATGGAAATTTTTGTAAGTACACGTTAAATAATTTTGGGTATCCATTAATTCAAAAAAAGAAAAAAGAAATAACCGGGTAATAAAATATAAAAATATTTTGTACACAAAGCAGGTAATAGATATATGGCTCATCAAACTCGTCAATTTCAAATTAATAGATTCATCGCTCACTCAAATTCGTACAATTCAATATAATCCAGAAAACAATAAAATAAATTATGAAAAAACCGTAATGTGTATACAAAAATTTAATTTTTGAAAGGTTTTTAATAACCATTTAAAACATTTTGCATTACGTAGGCATRTTATAATTTTCTATACACAATAAACATTTGTAGCCTTGTTGGTAATATTTATAACACAATCTGTATACACCATAATACTGTACATTGTTATTGGCTTTATAAGTTAGGTAATAACAATAATCATTAATAAAAATGGGGGAATTACCCGTTTCCGCCAAAATTTGAAATCAGCGATTCCGCCATTGCCCGTTTCCGYCAWTTTAAAAAAGATTAGATTCCCGTTTCCGCCAATMTACCTGCTAYGGAATAATAATRATWATTATTATTCATAGTTCATAAATTTTAAATGTTTTGGTTCATCGTGGATCGTAAATTTTTTTTAGTTAATTTCAGTTCACTAATACTACGTACACATGTTGCGGTAGTACATAAGGAAATGCTAGATACAAATGAGCGATAAGCGATAATTGTACACATTAATCTATGATAGTCTCAATTTTAATTGCACACATACATACAATATATATTAGGTATTCAGGCGGCGCCGCGGAAGCAATGCGAAAGCAGATCCCGCGGCGTCGTCGGTTAAAACAGAAAAAAAATAGAAAAAAAATTTGGGAAAAAATTGGGNATGCAAGTATTAACATGCATTTTTAATCACACTTATGAATGCATTCATTGACAGTCCTAAGTCTATTAAGGGAGAAAGTAAATGTATGTAAGTACTTAAATAATTTATTTGTTGATAATCAAATATTAATATTATGTAAGGTATAAACTATTTAAGTCTAAAGGGTAACTATGCGCAAACCATGTGTATGGTTACGGCTCAACTGTTTCCAAACGAGTGGTAGTTTTTTGCCCAAATAAGTTGTTTTTTTTTTTTTTGTGTTTGTGCGCAAATCGGTAGCGCCCTTTTACACATTATCTACGACTGAGTGGGTAAAGTGCTTTGATAAAATGTAAACGATAAAATAACGATTGTAGATAAGTGTTTATGAAGAAACACATGAAATAATATTTAGTAAAGTGCTAGTTCGTCTTAATACATGCTTCGTATACATATAATAGGTTTTTAAAATGACTTAACGCGAACAATTTTATGAGTGTTTTCATAAAATAGTCAATGAAAAAAATAATAACGCAGTTTATTTATTGGCATTTAAGTATAGCAAAATAGTTTCGGAAATTAAAAATGTGAGATCAAGTGGAATAAAAAGTAACAAGGCATATCGAATTTTGAAAAGAATCTTTTCAAAAGATACGAYCTCATTAGTATTGGAGAAGAAGATAAATTAATATTGGCGTTGTTGGAAGGTAATAYAAATATTTTGTACTATAAAACTAATAAAAATATCTATGATGTGCTACACGATGTACATTTGAGTATTGGGCATGGTGGAAAACATCGCATGAATGYTGAAGTTAAAAAAAGTATAAAATTATAACACAAGAAGCAGTGTATATTAACTTAAAATTTTGCGAATCATATCAATCTAAAAACAAGGGTCCAGTGAATAAACCAATGGTGTTTTCGGAAATGAATAGTAGGTGCCAAGTAGACCTGATTGGTATGCAGTCGCAGGGGGACGAAAAGTTTCGGTTTATTATGGTATATCAGGATCACCTTAAAAAATTCGTTTAACTAAGATCCTTAAAAACAAAGAGAGCGGAAGAAATTGCAAAACATCTTATCGATATATTTTTTATTTTCGGAGCTTCGATGATACTACAATCTGACAATGGCCGCGAGTTTGTAATTAAAATAATAGAAGACTTAAAAGAAATGTGGGTCACACTGAAAATCGTTCACGGAAAGCCACGCTACAGTCAGTCACAAGGGAGTATCTAGAGAGCAAACCAAGACATACAAAATATGTTGATAACATGAATGAAAACAAATAACTGTAAATCATGGTCAGAGGGACTTCGATTTGTACAGCTAATGAAAAATAGGGCCTATCAGGGTGGCATTAAAATATCTGCATACATGGCCAATGGTCATTGTTGGTACTGATGTGAAAATTGGTTTGTCATCATCTTTTCTACCAGCTGAACAAGAATTGGAAGAAATATTGCAAAGTGTCGTGTCAAACTATGAACWAAGAGACAATCATAGTGTTTCCGATAAAGGGATAAATTGTTGGCAATATATATAGTCGTTATACCAGGTTTAATCACTTCTAATTTTTTTCTTAACAGGACAGTACTGTATTTATTAGTTGCTGTGAATCGTGTGGCTGTGCTCTTGGTAATGGACAAACATCTATTTATTTTGTGGTTTATGTGATAAAAAAGTAACTATTACAAAACAAGTTTTATTTAGGAAAAAATGTAATTTATTTTTATTAAAAATGTTTCAGAACACCACAGAAAACGAGAGAAGCAATTTAAAAACAAGCAAAAAAATAAAGTTCAGATCCATTAACAAATTCCCTCCTTGGAATGTTGGCGACAAAGTTCGAGTCAAACTATCAGAAATAAACAGAAGTAAATGTGATCCACAGAATGTACTCTTTCCGGTTRTGTCAATTAGTGATAAATTATCACTGATAATCAATATTACGAACTCGGTAATAAAAATGGCATTCTTCATCAACTTTATTCCAGAAATCAATTTACTGTATGTTCTGAACCATTAATAGATATTTTAGAAGTTTTAGACACAAAAAAATCTTTGCGTGAAATAGTTAATGTACAATCTTTTTCCGGTGGTCAAGGTTTTAAAAAGTTTTTATGTAAAACTAATGCTTAAGAAACAAATGTAAATGCAAATCCGGAGGAATACTTTGTAATTCTAAATGTCATCCGAACTCAAATTGTTCTAATAAATAATTGGATTTTATTTTAAGTAGGTAAATAGTAAAATTGTTCAAATACATAATTTATAGTTTAATATTAATAATAATAAATAATTTTTTTTTGAATTAGTATAATTTGGTTTTTGCTACTAGAAAGACTCGGTATAATCTGTACCATTTTAAGTGTTTGATGCGTAGATCATATTGTACGGACTTTATATGTTTAAGATCATAGTTATACGAATACTTTATCCACAGCACACTGGATATATAAATTGATTGGACACTACATATTTAAGGTAGATAATGTATACATTACACTGTTTATATGGATGAGGTTCACATTACCCGGGTAATATGTATTACACTAACCGTTTTTGTACTTTACCCGTAACAGATACATTATCATCAGGCTATTTATAAAGTTAAAAAAAAAAATTAAAATTAAAATTAATCACTATTTATTTGAGATAACATAAATCAACAAATTGAAAAATATTGTAATTCCAAGCCGTTTTTCGAATGATTAATACTATAATATTACGAGTGTCTTTGGTTTAGTTTTCGTTACCTATTGATGAAAGATTAGTATCTATACCATTTGTGTAAACGTTATAAATTTGATCTGTGTTAACTGCGTCTACTAAGATTTTACATTAATTTAATTTTAATTATATATACCTAATTATCCTTCATCGTTTTCTTGTAATTATACGCAAATCATCAAATTATATTCATCAAATTTTCAACAAAAATGTTTCAACATTTTTACTCATTTTACTCATCTAGATCGTTATTAGTGCAATTCATACATACATTTAAGACCCGAGATTCCATGTATTTATACATACATTGCCTTATAAGTTATAAGTATGTAAGAATAACAAAATTATAGATAACAAAAAAAACCTATCATTTTTATTAAGCAGAATATAATATGCCTTTGCCTTATACATATTATGATAATGAATAAGTGATTAATAATTCAAACTAAATATTTTTATTTATTTACTCACCACAACAGCAGATAAGACGATAACAAATAAAGTAGCTGTGCCGAAACCTACGATATCGTACAGCACACCAGCAATAGAAGGACCGATAAAAGCTCCAAGTGCAAAAGTGGAAGTCCAAAGTCCCGATATCAGACCGTAAGTTTCAAGGTTATTGGCAAACCCGTGCTGACTGGAAAATTAAACAAATTATAATTGTTAAACATAAAAACAAAATAAAACAATTAACAGGAATCATTTTAACTCATCCAATAAAATTTTAATGTGTTGATTATTAAAGAACCGACAACTGTGAGTACCACCTATCCATTACGCATTATTTCTTATGTATATTACCACGTTTATGCACCTCGCAATATTTAATTTAAATTCGTACAGAATAGTGTGAGACATATTAAATTAGGTCAAAAATGTCTAAACATTTCTAATCCTATAATGTCACATTCAATTTAAAAGTAAAGAATAACTTGAGTAATTTGTTTGGTGATTACTATGAAAAAAATCTTTGTAAACACTTACATAGCAGTCCGCAAAGCATCGGTGAACGATGCAACAAGTTGTGCACCGATTCCCATACCGTGCATCACCAGTCCTAGTACGGTGACAGAAAATTCTCTGAAAATGTTCGTAAACACAGAAAAAGTTAATTATTTTTTAATTGGTAAATAATATTATAACCTTAACTATAACTATAACTTAATATCTGGCATGAACATTTTTTTCTTTTTAAAAATCACTCGTACTTTACACTAAACCAGCGAACGCCCATTGTATACTTACGTCGGTCTGTCGAGGAATGGTACCGGGCCGATAAGACTAAATCCAATCATGAGTATGATGCACCCCAGCAACGTGACGACCTTAGCAGGCAGCACTTTGTCGCACAGCCAACCCCACCAGGGCGCTGTCAATGCATAAGTTCCACCGTTTATGACAAACATCAGCCCCAAGATCATTGGAGACAATTTGAACTGAAAAAAGCGAAATAAATCAGAAATAACACAGCGATGTAATTATGACAGCGGTTATACTTGTCTGAGATGTGGTTCTAAGGTAGCCGACAAAAATCCRATGCTCATAGACGTCACGATAATACTAGCAGCCGCTAACATTATACCAGGAATTTTTAATACTTTCAACAGACTAGCTGTAAAATAATAATAAAATTGTCTTCTTAAAAATAAAATTCTAGTATTCCAGTAGATACCACATTCAACTATCAATATATTGTGGTGAAGCTTTTGTTTGTTAAAAACATTTAAAACATAAATAGCCAACACAGACCAATAAAGATTTTAGTCAATTGACGATTAAATAATTTCAATAGAAATAATATATTAATATATGTCATAATATTATTTATAATTTATTTGCCTATTTAATTAAATATTATTTAACATAATATAATCTACTCTTTGTAGTCTGTGAAATCTCGTTTAGTTGTTTGTTATGTTTTGTMAAAATTGTTATAAGAATAAATTATTCTCACTGTTTCTGACCACATATTAATAACGCAAAATGTTTAGGAATGATAATTTATTTATTAGCTATATGTAAACGCGTATACATATTTTAAAAAAGCGCCCGTCATAAAATGTTATTTTAACAAAATATATACAAAGGGTTTTAAAAGTCTAGAACCGTTACAATTTATGTTATTATCTGCCTATTGCCTAACAAGCAAACATTTCTTTCTGTTTTTGAATGATAACAATTTGTAACACACTTGACTATTCTCAAATAGTCAGGTTATGATTATGAATATTTATAGAAACGTTATTATTTAAACCTATTATTTAATAAAAGTAAATAAATGTATTTCTTAAATTAATACAATAAATAACTTGATAATATAAAGTTGATATTATAATCAAGAAATTTATACTTAATAAACAATAATATTATTCAAATAAGAAATTACCATCACTAGTAACGTCATTTCTACGATTCGGGTGGTCGGGTAAAACAAACGCTGTCATGACAGCCGAAAGGAATAACGTAGAACCCAAAACTAAAAATGGAGTTACAAAGCCTCCGACCTGAAAAAACAAATTTGTTAGCATGACATTTTTAAAATAATATAATATTATAAACATTGTATTCTAACTTGATACAAAGCTCCACCGACAGTTGGTCCAACAATCAGTCCAAGTCCAAAAAACGTCTCAAGAGAAGCCTAAAATTATTACATGTTATTAAAACATAAATTATGGACGTATTAAATTCTAGAAAATTAATTTATATGTTTTGTTTCTTACAAATGTGGTAGCCACGTTGTCTGGAAACTCCATAGCAATGATGGCAAAACTGGCTGTCAAAAATGCCGCATTTCCCATCGCTTCGACGATACGTATGACGAAGGATAATATGATGAATGGATAATGGCCTTCCACCCTGTCCAAAAATCTGGTACCAAACAGCAAAAAAAACCCTGATTTTAATGAATCCATTCGGTTTTACGTCATAAATTCAGAGAATTGATTTAAATATTTAATTTCCCAAATAATTAATCRAATAAAAATATAATATGCACAAACAATTAAAAAGTCGACTAAAGAACAGTAAAGTAAAAATTTCATTAAAAAAAAACATGAAATTATGTCTTATATTTTATACTATTGTGTATTAATTGAACTTAAGTTATGAACAATAATAACCTCAAACATTTGTTTTTAATATTTGTCTTCCTTTTTTATTTTGAATTTCGTATTCCCGACTCTCGCGCGTATACATATAAATACTTCAAAATTAAAATATCTACAGAACAAATTATTATTAAACAGCAGAAATTTATCTTCAAATATTTGCTTAAATAATCTTCCTTCTAAAAAAATCAAAAGAGTGAGTAATCTAAGTTTTAACAAGCTCTGTTTATATTTTGAAATTAAAAAAAAAAAAAAAAAAAAAAAAAACAGTGAAGTCGATCTGGCTATATTGTAGCCTGTAGGAGTGGAGATTACTTCGTATTTTTATTTTTATTCAACTGATGGAAATTTTTGTAAGTACACGTTAAATAATTTTGGGTATCCATTAATTCAAAAAAAGAAAAAAGAAATAACCGGGTAATAAAATATAAAAATATTTTGTACACAAAGCAGGTAATAGATATATGGCTCATCAAACTCGTCAATTTCAAATTAATAGATTCATCGCTCACTCAAATTCGTACAATTCAATATAATCCAGAAAACAATAAAATAAATTATGAAAAAACCGTAATGTGTATACAAAAATTTAATTTTTGAAAGGTTTTTAATAACCATTTAAAACATTTTGCATTACGTAGGCATRTTATAATTTTCTATACACAATAAACATTTGTAGCCTTGTTGGTAATATTTATAACACAATCTGTATACACCATAATACTGTACATTGTTATTGGCTTTATAAGTTAGGTAATAACAATAATCATTAATAAAAATGGGGGAATTACCCGTTTCCGCCAAAATTTGAAATCAGCGATTCCGCCATTGCCCGTTTCCGYCAWTTTAAAAAAGATTAGATTCCCGTTTCCGCCAATMTACCTGCTAYGGAATAATAATRATWATTATTATTCATAGTTCATAAATTTTAAATGTTTTGGTTCATCGTGGATCGTAAAWWTTTTTTAGTTAATTTCAGTTCACTAATACTACGTACACATGTTGCGGTAGTACATAAGGAAATGCTAGATACAAATGAGCGATAAGCGATAATTGTACACATTAATCTATGATAGTCTCAATTTTAATTGCACACATACATACAATATATATTAGGTATTCATACATACTGTATTATTATTACTTAAATATGGAATCATCGTATATAAATCGATAAGATTGAAACTACAGTACAGATAAGAACATTTTTTACTCCATAAAACTACTGTATCTATTTATGAATAAGTAACTTTTACTTTATTATTTTACTTATTAAAACTATGACAAAATATTATGTATTTATTATTTATAAATATATTTTCCACTATTTAATGTTATCATATTATATACCACATGCAATTACGTCAAGTTAAAAATAATACGAATAATACTACAATTAATACAGAATATTAAAATATAATAAGTATATTATATTAATATATTATTATAATGTATATAATTATAATAATTTTACCATAGCAGGTATATTGGCGGAAACGGGAATCGAACCTTTTTTAAATTGGTGAAAACGGGCGATGGCGGAATCGGTCACTTCAAATTTTGGCGGAAACGGTACATGCCCAAAAATAGTACTTAAAATCGATGCAATAATATATAAAAAAAAATGTTATACCTATTAATAAATGCGATATTTTTAGCAAAATTTGTAACATTTAACTATAATTGCAATTGCAGTTGTTATAGATTAAGGAAATTAATGTCGATCAGATCAGTTTTAGCCATGTGATGATACTTTTGCGATCTGAGATCGTTATTATATCAACTTGAGATTGATCGGTCCACTTTTCGCAATGTTGACCCCTCCCTAATTCCTATAAATTAAGTTTGAATATTTTGATATTATGGAATTTTCAAACATCGATTATTCGGAAATAAAATCAGAAATATGAAATGTAGACTGATCAATCTCGAGTAGACATTATATGGAATTCAAATAATTTTTCTRAAATATTATYACATTATTAGGTTAATCGRTAAATTGGACAAAAAGCACATACAAATGAACGTATAAATYGTGTACCTTTCAGGCTCGAAACGCCAAGRCGGTGACTTTTGACTTTTAAAAGTAAGTACGGGAGGGCTCAGCTATTTATTTTACACATAGTCACACAACTGATCATCAGAATACATTTACAAGACCCATGTCCACATACATGCAATTTGAAAATTACCTTGAACTTCTTAAAAACTGACTGATCCCCTTAATTTTAAAATATCATTAAAAATCGAGGCTAACACACATGCACCCGCTCAGAATCGTTTTTAATATTTAACACAATATCCACTACAGTGATCTATAATACCCAATATGAGTTAGACTCAAAAGTCAAAACTTAGTATACAGCAGAACCACTTCCCCAGTTTTTTTCCTTCAATATATTTTACCGAAGTATTTGGTAAATAATTTATTTATTACACCTGGCTGTAATTTWTTTCTTACCCAAATAAAATTGCACATACTCCTGTCGTGAATATCCCTCCATTGAACAGATTTTTGGGACCAATCTTATTTAACTAAAACATAAATTTTTTTTTTTAATCTGAAATATTTAAAAATTATTTAACTTACGTGTTTTCCATAAATGGGACTGATTAAAAACACGACCAGTTCAAAAATACCGAACACAAAACCATATTCAGTTGCGGTGGCTCCTTTTTTTTCAGCCTAAAATYAATATGAAAWTAAACACATTTTTCATAAATATATAATATTACTGTTAGATGTACCTATTAATCAATTTTATTTTGATATTTTTAAAAAACTTTCAATTAAAACATTAACTTTTTTAAATTTTCATGTATAGCTTTTAAAACAATATTTTAACTAAAACGAATCAAGTGCACTTAATATTATAAAATTTTTGCGTATTATTATATTAAAATTAATATGCATAGTACTTATACGTATTATATTATTTACGTTGGTACTACAAAATCGATATTTTTTTGTGTAAACATGAATTTAAAGTTTTATAAAATTGAATAGTCTTTCACTTTCCTTATGTCATTAAATAAAAATTATATTAGTTGGAATAAATGCATTAAATTATTAATAGACTACAGCATTATCTGRTTATCATATTAATGAATTCGTATGTGTAGTAATTATCTATTAAAATCCTAGAAATCAAAAATCAATTAACTATGCACAAATGTAATCGTAAATATTATTTCCAAATTAAACACATAGACTTTTGTAATATTTACAAACAAATTATTAAATAGTGTCGAGGTTACAAWTAATCGAAAAAACCAAAGTGTTATGAAAACTTTGGACTTAAGAGTAGCATACTATATAGTGTATTTAGGTCGAGATTATAAATCAGAACGATTTTTACATATTAATATGCGCGCCTTTATTTATATTTTATCCATTTGTCTGTAGGACAATGGCTACGTGACCTATAATAATATTATATGATATAATATAATACCACGCAAAGGAGTGCCGACCTGATTTCTTAGAGCAATTATGAACAAGAGCTTATCAAAAAATGAAAAAAAAYTTAACACACCCATTAAAATTATGGCCAAAAATAGGACGGATAAGTGAAACAGAGATTAATAATATATTGAGTTGCAATGATTGATGCGTACATTGTTAAATGCATATATCTCAGTAATATACACTAATATGTACATGRCTTGGCCCACGTACGAGATTTTTAACAGTGTTATATGTCATATGTGATAACTTATTAACTCAACCTAGCTATTATATAATATAGATACTGCACTGCACATTTCAGGTAGAAGGTTTAAATTTTTATTTTATTTAAATCACTTAATATCACAAAAAACTATACATTTTGAAAAAAAAAATGTATACATTTCATCAATATAATCCTGATGATCAATACTTTTCCGCCTCTTCCCCACACCAACCATAACACACAACATACCCTCCGTGCGTTACAACCACGTGAAGAATTTCCAAAGATCCCGTTTTTAATGTCACAAAATCCTATTTCTATCTTTTAAATACTATGTGTAAAGTTTAAAATTAACATTGTATAATAATTCTAAGATATCATTGATCATAAATTAAAAATATGATTTTTTTATTTTATATGCTAAGTACCTAATGAATTTTGATTATCGAATACCGGAGCAGTTTGCGAATTTACGTATTTGTGAAATCTTATTCGTCGGAAGCCAAACGGGTTGCACTGGTTCTTGCCTTTTTCGAATAAAACAAAGAACGACACGCGAATGACATTACAAAAGTTTACGATACTGAAAAAAATTCTTAATAACGTTACCTAGCTATCAAATTGATGCTGCACACATTTTAGGGTAGGAGATTTAAACTTTTTTCTTTAAGGCAATTAATATCAATCGTGAAAAACTATGGATAAATTCCCTGACATTTTGAAAATAATGTATTCATAATTAATAATATTATAATCGATATAATCCTAATGACCAATACTGCAACCCCCTCGTACGACCAACAATACAAATACCCTGCGTGCGCTATACAGTAGTTGCGTGCAGGGTTTATACAAACATAATTATGTTTAAATGAAATGCAGTCCTCACCTCTTGCGGATAAAACGGAGCCTGTAACGATACACAAATGGCGTTACAAAAGTCGGCGATACTGAAAACGATCAACGTCAACCACTGTCGTTTACTGAAATTTGATAAGCGTAGCATATTAAACGTGGACGGTACACCACGTAGATGCGCCGATGATGATGCTGCTGCTGCTGCTACACTTCCGTCGCAAAACCGACAGAGATTTTGTCGTCGTCGTCGTCAACGCAATAAAATATATTAGATCACAGTCGTCGATCGCAGGGTTCGATAGAGGAGACTACGAGACAGATTTTCATTCGGTTACTGTGTGCGTGAWTCGTGTCACATGATTGTTGTTGGACTGTGAATCTGTATATAATATAATATTATTAAGGTAGGTATAAACGCACATGATCAGTCTTAAAAAATAAAACGTTTAATAAAATTTAATGAATTCCCCGYAGTAAACCTATTTCGGCAATGATAAATAAAATGCATCGAAGTGTATAAAAGACATATTATAGGTACGTATGTTRTAATATACCAACATCAATATATTTGTAAAACAAAAAAAATAAAACCATTAAAGGGGTAGGTGACTCGGTGGGTAGGCCACAGTGGCGTATTTACGGGGGGGGGGGGGATTTGGGGGATTGATCCCCACTTGATCTTTTTTTCTATTATTAAAGAATTTACCTATATATAACTAGACACTAAATCGTGTTTAGTATTTTCATATGTTACTTTTATGTGTGATATTCAACGGGTCATCCCCTCCCTATAACAATTCTTAAATACGCCGCTGGTAGGCCATATCATTATGTAAATACTAAAATACACTAATACTGCAGTTATGTATTGTATAACGTAGGTATACCATGTACATTATACATATTTATGGTATTATTATAATCTGTCGGTTAAATGATAAGACAAGTGACGATCGACGGACGTTGGACGTCGATGTTACACCAAAATGTACCCATTCAAGCCGCGTTTGATAAAAACCCTTTTTAGACAAAAAAAAAATAAAACACTGCGCTACCGATATTCCCATATTAATTTATATAACGCGAAGTCTTATCACATACAAATATATTTGAAAATAGTTATTGTACATTTCAAATCGGTGACCCGAACAATACGCAAATGACCCACCGAACGACCGAACGCTCGTGCGTTCAAGCTCGATTAGTGCACGTTATCATCATTATTATCACGTGTGATTGAATTATATCACTGGTCAAACTTGAAAATATTGATATTTTTTGATTTCCCCCCAGCAAAATATTTTCATTAAACCTGTTAATAACACACACTGTGCACGTAAGCGTTTATTATACATCTACCATTTTAATGGCATGCGAGTAACTTTATTTTACTGYACCTAAATTGTTCGTTTTAAGGGAGGATCACGGGTCAAAATATGCAACTCACACGGGTCTCKGCATTAGGATACATAGATTTTGTTGTTAGTATAAAAGTATAGTAGTAATATTATTAATGCGCCTGAACGAAGCGATAATTTGACGGTTCCCGCAGAGATAAGCTAAGAAATCGTACAATATCTACAAATAACGTAGGTATCGGAAAATGAAACAAACTCACACACACACACACACATTTTTATACGTAATAGTTATAGGCACGCACACGAGTATAGATACCCACCTATCACCGAAGATACCAATACTGACATGATTGCGATCGAATCACACTCGACGAGACTAGCACGAACTACGGAGCCCTCAAAATAACATACAATATTGCTATAATAACAACGTCTGCATTTAGTGATAGGTACATAGGGCGAAAAGTGCATTCAAAATGTTTTTCGTTTGAAAGGTTATGTCTGTAGTTGCAGTATGCCGAACGTAAATATTAAAAATAAAAATGTAATGTAATTTTTTTTAGACTTACTTATATCTTCCGATATCAATACTCGTATGAACGTCATGCGGTGACGGCGACAAATCCTACGTGTGGCGGCAATGCGTAAACCCAGGTATATGAAAATAAGCTAAGTTCTTGAAATTCTCTTCTCGAAGACTAGTGATGCAGACAGACAGATATGCGTGACGTTAACAATAATTATGAACACAGGCAAATTTAATACTAATAATAATGTAACGTCGCGAACGTGACGGAACAACGTGCGATCGTTTTTCGTGTCAATGATCAACGAGTAGGTACCGTGTTATTGGCGTTTAAATAAATAAAATATTATTATAATAATAAATTATTGTACCGAACAAACACACGGCACACAACTAGACCAGAGGAGAATCCGCGTATACATATAACAATATTAACGTTATATCGCCAAGTTCGTTATCTGTTCACGCTAGGGTAGCCAAGGTGGGGAGTATTGGATTCGTATCTACATGGCTTGTACTGTTGAATGTGTACCTACCTGCCTCCTACTTATCAATAATGCGCACGTTTTCATGATTATTATTGTATTTTATTATTGTAACATGTGATCAAAGTTCGATGTAGACCTATATGAGTGTATCTATATATAATTATTTATGTCTTGCGCATATCACCTATTAGATAATACGGTAGACAAAGTTARTGTACGACTTTACGTCTTTGATAGAACTTGATTACAACTTTTTGTTGGGGGAAGGTGGAAGAGTACCAAGTTCATGGAAAATAATACATTTTTTTTCCAGCCAATATAATAGGTACTCGTAATTACCACTTTTAYTTATAATTCCAAACTCTTTTCTATGGACAATTTCCGTTTGGAATCAATAGAGTTTTTAGAATTGCTAAACCATTCAAACTCATCCCACTCATTGATATCCAAATCGTAAATTTTTCGCACCGAATTATTATGACGTATAAACCCGCAAGAAGCTGAGATCATTATTCGTTTATATCATACGAAAAATACCAAAAATAGCCCGCAATAAGGTATACATACATATAACCCATTAGGTATTATCACCAAAGGCCATTAGTCGTATGCGATATTGCGATATCATAATATGTGTATGGTACTATGTTATATAATATACCATATGTTATATATATATTTTAGGATTTTGGATGGTAAAAATCTTGGTATTTTAATATCGAACGGATGTTATGAGGATTATAAGCAGGTAATAATAATATAGTAGCATACTGGTATTTGTACACATTATATATTATAAATTATAATAATATAATAGTCTCGCAGTKATTCACTGATCATCAGTGACTRATATAATGAGAAGGGTTTTTTTTAACGAATTCTCGATACAATATTATTCTAACACGCGCACAATTATAAAGATATATATATATWTTTTTTTTAATAATATATCTGAATTTTGGATTATCCAGGCACCTATCCTATTTTAGGTATCTATTGACGTATTGGCATTGTTTGAATCAAAGTAATATATTTTTACTCCGACGACGATAAACTAATATTATACAGAGTATCCCGTGAGGATTTACCCATTGCGATATCTCTTGAGAWAATAAATATATCATAAATCTATTTATTTTTTTATTAGACTCACATAGACAAAGGCTACATGTATTTTATTTATTTTTTAATTTAATTTAATGTTTAGGTTAAAAAGTTTWAAAAAATTATAACAGAGACACAAGTTAAGTATAACTGTATACATATTAAAATTTTTACATAATATAATATTAGTAAACAGTAGAACATTTTGCTTTGTTCTCTTATCAGTGTTATACTAATATACACTGTCTTAATAGATTGATACAAATTGTTGTTATAATAATAATCATAGGAAAGGTTGTTAACGTTTGAGTTATAATATTTTGTTGACATTATTATTCAAAATTATGAGCCATCGCTCATCGTGGATCATCAAGTATCTTTTTTGCACTAATAATTCAAAATAACTAATGTTGAAGTATTCCCGCTAAGAAGCCCTTAAATTAAAATACCTAATGAGTTTTACGTGTTTTCTAACGTCTAACATCAATTTTAACATCAAAATTATGCTTAATGTTAATTTACATAACAGATTGTATAAATACGAAAATAAAAAAGAGAAATCATAATTTACAAAGGGTCAGTATAAAAAAATCATTTCATTTATGGAATATATTTAAAAGCGACTCTTTAATGTTGTGTTGTTGGTGATTCATGTTGATACACTTTTGCGATAGTGCAATAATAGTGCATTCATACATATATGCACTTTGTGCCATCGTAAAGATCTGAATGACTTGATCATACGTATTTTTATAACAGCACCTATAAGATTTAAATCATCAAATACCATATTACCATTATTTYCATCTAAAAGGTCACGTTCATCAGTAATTAATTTACAGTCTTAAACCTATCTATRTTTTATATGGATTTTGAATACATGGTTTATTAAAATTAATGAATAGGTTGTTTATTTAAATTATGATAGGCATATCTGGTAAATATTAATAAAGTTGAGCCTATAAATTTACATTACTCTAAGTCTGCAGTTTATAAACAATATAAACGATCTAATCATTCATTAAACTTATAGAAAAGTTATTTTATTTAAAAAAAAAAAATCAAAGTTAATATTACCTTAAAGGTTAGAATATAACTATATAAGGGTATATAAATATGATTTATTTTAGTGATTAATCTTAAAAATACATGAAAACGGATAAGTTTATGCGTATTTTATATTATATACACTACCTATAAAAATAGAATTAGTTTCAAAGTTAATTATAATTTGTTATTTAGTTCACTTTCAGTCACTCTTTTAATTAATCAATGTTTTATACGTTTATGTGAAATGTTTTTATGGACTATAATTTTTTGAACTTAAATGAAATAGTAAAAATGCTTCGAGCATGAAATTCATTTCTTGGTTTGAAATATTGAAGTCAAAAATCGAGATGCTTGCTGAAAAATTAAGATTCACAAGATACATATTCGATTTGGTTATGTACCTTCTAAATACTTATACAATTAAAATATGTTAGATACTATAAATATATTCCAATGAAAACATTTTTTTCATAAATTAATTCACATGTATACTGTATACGTATATATTTGCAGAGTTTCATGAAAATTCTAATAACAGCATCGGTTGAGGTGGATACATGTTAATTTATATTACCTATACAGAATGTCGAGCGAAGATACACCCACTGCGATATATCTCTTGAGATAATATAAATGTATCATAAATCTGTTTTTTTTTTCATTAGACTCATATAGACAAGGACTATTTGTATTTTATTTTTTATTTAATTCAATTTTTTGATAAAAAAGTTAAAAAAATATTTTTTTAATTGAAAAAAAGATGCCTATTTTATAGAGTTTATTTTGCTGAAAATGTTTACCTTTCAATATTTTATTTTCATTTATACCATGATTTTTAATAATTTTTTAGTTTATAGATAAAACAGTAAATATTGTTTTTTGCCCGAGCGGCCAATCCCCCTCTACGGCTAATGTGTGTATCCTCACGGAACACCCTGTATTTTTAAAACCTATATAGACCTATAATATACTCGGCTACTCCCAACCGATAAAATTGTTTAGTATAGACTATACTGTTAAGAAAATAATATAACATATTTATAGGCATAAATATTTTTCGTTTGGTGTTTAAACTTCGTAGTCAAAATTAATACCCAGTTCAATAACCAGTCATCATATAAGCTATTACTAGTCACTAAAATTGACATATCTAAATTCTAAATGTTAATATATTTTACAATAATATTAATTTTTTTTAAATATGTAAGCATACCATTGTGTTTGTCATGATTGTTGTAACCGTTCAATAAATCGTTAAAAACGTGTTTGTTGTATAATACTTATCTATACACATAACTACAACTATAGGTTTAGACTTTAGTGAGCCATGCATAATATATACATATATATACTACAAAGATTATATATATTATTCAGAAAATAAAAACTAAACAGGAAAATAGTTTCTTCAAAAACAATTTCAATGTATACATGGAACAATATTTAAACAGTTTATTTATTTAGATATTATTATGCAATTAGAAGTATATATCTAAATAATGAATATTGCTGTGTGTATTATGAATGATTAACCTGGTGTCAAACAGCGGACCCAAACTATCACATTATTAAACAACAACTAAATAAAATATGAACCTTATTGTATTAAATAATGCATTATTCTAGAAGATTATATTATTATACTATTCCTACATTTTAGAAATAGATAAAAAAAATAAGACTTATAATTTTTAAATACATGCTATTCATTTTTTTCATTTATTTAACGATTAAAGTATTAACAAAAAAATTAAGAACATCGATATACAGCGTTTTGTTGGGTTCAGTTCATTATTTGTATAAATGATAATATATACCATAAATACTCTGACTTATATAAATGCATCAAATCTATAGGTATACGCACAAGATTATAAGACAGGTACAAATTTTAACGGATATGCTGAAAATGTAACAACAAAAATGATCGTAAATCGATGTATGTAATACGTATTTATACACATGTACATGTCTATATATTTATTATTATATCATTATATTATATAAAATGTATAAACATAAAACATTAATCATCAGTCATCACATAAGGTAGGTGAATTTTTTTTTATTTCTACAAATAATTCAATCTGTATATAATCTGTTATATAATCTGTATTTAATCTGTATATGTGTGTATATGAATTGTATTATTTTAATTAAAATATTATTAAATAAAAAAATACAACCCAAAAAAAGTTTATAATATTTTACATTTTAATTTTTTAGGTATCAGCTTCTGTTCAAGTAAACAACAGGTTTTTTAAATTTAACAATACCAATAGGCACCACAAGTAAACAATTTAAAGAATAGTTGTTCATATAACATTAGAAAATGCTCATAAATCATAATACGTACTGTGTACTAACGTACTATAATCTCTTGTATTGATAATACTATGAGTGATTTTACAAACATAAATTATAATAAATTAATGTGATTCAATTATTCTCGAATCGTTCTAGTTATAAAAAATTGTATGGTTGTTTACTTAACTTTAACCTTAGTTTGCAGTATTTTATAATATATGCTATATATTCACCGTAAACTTATCGGTTAATAACTGAGATGTAAATAATTCTAAATGAACAGCAAAATAATATCCATAGAAAAAGTTAATTTTAAAAAAAAAGCTCAACGAATTGTATACCTATAGTGAAAAATTGCTTCGCTTACATAATTCACTAACTACCACTCTGCTTTATATCAAGTACAGTAAGTATATGTATTATTATTATAATCATTATCATTCTAAATGTGAGTTATAAAAAACTGATCTAAAATCTTTTAAAATTACACTTGTTGATTGAAGTTTTTTCTTGGGATTTAAAAAACCACAGAGAAGACCTTAAATGGGCTCATAGGAATATTATCACTGTGATTATTATTTCTGGTGTACATAAGTGATAGGTGTCCGAAAAGTTTCCATTTAAAGATATTTTTTTTAAAATCATTTTAGAACCGATATAAATTCTTCTCTTTATTTAAAATCTAAAAACATTACATTTTTCCATAAGGTAGGGTCAACACAACTGGATTAACTCACAAATTAAAAAGAGTTAAAATATGTATGCCCTAATTATATTTTTATCGGCTTAAGTAATTTTACTGATAAAAATATTTCACATTTATCAATTTACGGTATTATATAATCGTACAATAATTATAGAAAAATATAAAAGCTTAAAAAATTGCAATACATATAAACATAGAAAATATACAAATTTAAAAAAAAAATCAGGTTGAAGTCTATGTAATTCAAGAAAGGAAGATCACACTTTACAAGCATGCAAACTTCCTGGTTTCTATACATAATTTTTAAATAAACAATAATTATTACCTAATTAAACTCAATACGTTCAAATTAACATTACAAAACCATTTAAACATCACGTGATAWAAATACTAATTTATTTATAAAAATATTATGTAAATACATGAAAATCCAATGCAAGTTTTAATTTTAATGTCAATAAAACAAGATATTATAGCAATGTAAAATATAGTCAAGGAATACTCTATGTTACATCATTGATTTTATAATAGTATACCTATACTTATTATATATTAAGTATATCAGTTAAGTATGAGTTTGATATTTTTGATAAAATATATATTATATATAATAGCTAGTGATAATAAAGCAATTAATCGGTTATTTTCTAAGATATTAAGAACTTAAAAATTTCAAAATCAGTTTGTCTACAGGTACGTAGTTTGGTACAATTAAATTGGAAAAAATACTAGCAGCTATAAGCACGTGTTAATTRCAATTGCATAAAAAATATTTCTGATAGGAATAAAAAAGAAATAKGTAAATATGTCATTATTTTGTAATTAAATGAACYAAAACGAAATTATAGTAAAGTTAATRGTAACTGTTTGATAAAATTTAAATTAATTACAGTACTGATTAAATCAATATGAAATAACATTGCAATTAAACTATTAATTAAATGTATCTAATTCGTGGGTATGTTTACTATAGYAAAAATCCAAGTAGGTTACGTAATCGCTGTGCTATACATTGGGTGTCGAGCTTACCTCGCCATYGAGTAGGCACTATAATTTATGTGTTCAATTTGGATACTATAGGTAATAAATGTTTGTATACAATGAAGAACGATTCTAAACAAAGATGGACCAAATTTTTATAACTGAGGTTATCAAGCAATTTTTTTATAATAATATTAAAATTTAAAGTGTTAACAAATGTTTGTATTTATTTTTTGTTTATCCCTACTGTTATAAAAGTACTGAGATTATTTATAAATTTTACCTCTAAAAGTACCAAGTACCAACTAGATCCAATTCACCTCCAGGYACCTCTATTGAAGTTGATGATCACAGCTTTTTGTATCCAAGAAAATGTGTATTCAGATAACATTTTTTTCCTGAAACACACTTAATTGTAAAATCAATAATTTCTTCACTTGGCTTAGAGAATAAATACAGTAGGTATAACAATTAAGGGAATTGGTAGTGATCATTTATTTAATATTTTAGCTAAAACATACCAATTTGTTGTTCATTATCCACCCAGTAGCGTTCTTACGTTGGCCGTAGTATAGTAACGCGATAATATTTTTAAAAACTTATTTGAATTGATTATTATGTCAACTTGAGATCTATCAATCAGTCCAATTTTCGAAATTTAACACCCCCCCCCCCTCTACTATTATTCCAATAAATTTGGTTTGAATATTTTATAATTTATTAGGAATTTTAAAACGTCAATTATTCAGAACTAAAATCAGAAACCTTAAATGTGCCCTGATTGTTCTCAAGTATAAACCTTATTAMAAATTCAGATTAGTTTTCTAAAATATTATCCCATTATATTGGATTGTTCGGTAGAATGAACAAAAAGTAGGTACCTACATTCTACAATCTATATACAAAATTACAAACTAAATGATCATAAATTGTTTACCGTTCAGGTGCGCACGCCGAGGCAGACATTTACAAGACCCACATACATGAAATTTAGAAATTGCCTATTTTGAACCCCTTAAAAACTGTCCACATGTATTGTCTACTTGTCTTCGTCATTCAATTGCGTAATATAGCAAATTTAAACACAACAGATCACGTTTAGCTCCGTTATAAAAACATTAATATAATTAAAAACTTATGATATTGATTAGATAATAATCTTTAACTTTAAAATATGTTATAATCGGTCAATTCACTCTATATTTTTAATGGTAGACTATAGCTAGACATTATATAGTCTGTTTTTAAAATGTACAAAACAATAGTAAGGCAATAAAATGGATATTGGACGACCAAATTTAATGTAAAATTTTATTAATAAAACCTTGAAAACATTCCTTATTTCACGTTTACAGTACCTACTTCAGTTCAATTTTTATATTATGTACGAAAGTTTTTCGTGACCTATCTATTCAATTCAAGTCGGGCTCTCCAAACTGTAGATGGGATCATTGATTGACTATAAAACATAATTTAATATCTCTATTCTCTTTTAACATCACAACTATACATATTATACCTATTTTCCTATAACTGGAATAGTCTATTAAGTACAAATTAAGAAAATCCATCGAGACTTTTGGCTTTTGGGTACATACTCGTAGATAATTGATTTGCAGATCAAATGTATGGACACCTTGTGTTATGTCATATACACAGTATTAACGACAGTTCCGCTATCTCTATTTCAATCGATGTAGTGGCTACGCATTATGAAACATTTGAAACTCTTTTATTGCCCCAATAAATGTATTCCTAAGTATAAAATCACATGGTAGTTAGAGTAATAAGACTATATAACGTAAAATAAATACAAATAAYTTCTTCGTTCAGTAGAATATTTAAAATACAATTTTAATATTTGTACATCAATGTTTAACATATACAAATTATATACATTTTTTGAGCATGTTGAGCAAATATGAAATGGATAAAAAGATTATTGGATTACATATTTCTGAAATATATTATTTGCCTATTTTTACGAGTTTTGTTTTTTAATATAAACCTCACGTATTAGATAAAAACCCATTTCAATTTAAAACAGATGTATAGTTACATACTTACTAAATCGCATATTATATACAAGTATTCGTTTTAATTTCAATTTTCCCGTTCTACTAATAACCATATTGAAAATACCCTATGTTGGAATTACCTTGATATCAATGTAACAAATATAACAATATAAAAAATCATTTGTTATGGTTGACATTAAATTTTTTTTTTTTAATAGGATAAAAATCGTTATTATCGTAAGTTATACATCTTTTGATGGAATTCTCAATATAATTAAAACGACGCTCTTTCTTTTTTATTAATTGGCCAATTGTAATTACCTACCACTAAATTTCCAACATATAAATAACCTGACCAAGATTAGATTGTGTTTGACCTTGTTCTTCTTTCTCATTTTTTTTTTTTTTTTATCACATATATATTGCAGAAAAATCTGATAACCAAGGTTGGTGTTTTTTTACTATGATAATTACGATGAAATTCATACGCAATTCTCAATTATTTTCACAAAAATACCCCATTGTATTAAAAAGAATTTATTTGAATCGTGTAAGAAAGTATATTAAAAAAATTAACGAAATTTCTTTGAGTGGAAACGAATTCATTCATAAATTATCTGTAGTCATCTCTTTATATTTGGTAATAAATTATATTATTATAATAAAGATTTTGAAATCAAAATTCTTAAATAGGTCATTCATGTTTATTATAACAGTATTAATATTTAATATTGGTAATTTGATTAAATATATAAATATTAAATTAAATAAATGAAACTCTTTTTCATTAATTTTATTAGAATGGACTCAATTTACTCAACGTGTAACTAAAACTACGACTACCTATATATTAATACTGTTGATAGTTTTAATTTACAACGTTTCTCTCTCAGCATATTATTGGCTATGTTTTTTTTTAACAAATCTGCATTAATAAAAAAAAATTATTACATTTATATAATGTGTCGTAATCAATAATCTTAGTAAAAATATTGTCCTTAAAATTTAATGAACTATATTATTAATTTCTTTTGGCACATTAAAATATTGTAAATGTGCAATGTATAACATACGACCATTTTAGTATTGCACTGTCACCCGGCAGCGCGTTATAATTTTCAAACATGTTTGAAAACAAAACACATACAACTAATTCAAAACTAAAATAATAACTCAATAAGAGATTATAAAGATATAACTAACTAAATTGTCAGTAACAATATTTCTAAAAACACAATTAAAAAAAAAAAATCGTACGAAAAATACGATGACATAATAATATAATATATATTATAATATATATTATTATGTATAAATGTATAATGTACTTATGTACTTATATATACAAAATGGCAAATATAAATGATAAAATAGTTTACATAATAGAAATTCTATGTTAATATTTGTTCAAAGTATGGTAACTTAAATAAATATACGAGTATAAAACTACAAATATTATGAGAATAATATGATTTTTAAAAATAAAACTACTCACTATAGTATTGGAATGGTAAAGGAAATTACAAAACAAATGATAGACATGAAAAGTTATAGTAAATTATTCAGAGTCTTTCAGCCACACTTTAAGTGGAATTTGTAAGAACGCGTTGTTCAAGAAATTTTTAAAATGTTTGCCAATGGCTTGCGAAGCGGCRGGTTTCATTTCTTCAATGATCTCTGCAGAATTTTCATTCAAGAATACGTTCATTGCTTCGCCTGAAAAAAATCACGCATAATTTTAAAATCATGTTTAAATCAATATATTATACATCTTAAAGACATATATTTCTGTGAGCTAACCTATGACATTTTGCATGTTAATAGCATCTTTGATCTTAAAATCTGATTTCTCCAGTTTAAACCCAATGCCCAATCTTTCAGTTTTCATGAATTTCACTCCTTCTTTATTCACCTCAACTCCATATAATTTTGCTAAGGCCGTCACGTTTCCTAAATGTTAATTGGTTTACATGAGTATCAAATTATTTCATAAATCGTAAAATGAATAATTAAATGTTAGCTGACCGAAAGACGCCCAAAATTCTCCTCTACTTCTAACCGGTAATAGTAACACGTTTCCGTTGACATCGTAGTTTCCAGTAGCTTCGATGTGTGGTATGAAAAGTCCTAAATCTATGCGGTACTTATTCATATCACTCCTATAAAAATAATTTGMCATTAAATATTAATATTCATACTATCAAAAATTGTGTAACATACACATTTGCATACTCAAATGATGAATTCAATTATAGAGATAATAAATGTTAATGACCTTATTCATATTTTTTGTATAAGATGATGTTTAATCTAATATCATTTATGCAAAAATATATATTTAAGA